AGTGCAGAGATTCCTTTCCGCTCGATGGCGAAATCCTGCGCCGACCTACACTTCGGCTTGGGGGAAATTTCCCACTTCAGATATCTCCCCCTGCGGTACACTGCAAGGTTCTTAAGCTCAGACTCGTCTCCCGTCATTTGTTGTAGAGTAGTGCATGTAAGTGTGTGTGTGTGTGTGTGTGTGTGTGTGTGTTTGTAAGGAGAGATGATAGGATCAGAAGGAAGAAGGAAAGATCGCGCGCGTTCCCTAGCCCATTTGTGAGGATACTGCTCTAGCATTTGTCGGATATTAATCGGAGAAAGCTCGGAAAACTACCAATTAGAGCTACAATTGGCCTGCACACAAGGGGTGGGTCCGACCAAGCTACCCAGCGTGTTTCGAAAATCTGCTACCGTCGGGTCTATAGAGCCTTGGTGAGACTCGCTGCAGAAATATAATGCGTTTTAAAATCTGTATTATTCAATCATTTTAGAACATTTTGTTTCGAAATCAAATAAATGTTTGCTTTAGAAACATGAAATGAAGCTTTAAGATATAAGAACGACAGGTAATGATATTAAAGAATGTTACACCATCGTGTGCTATTTAACATTGTTGGAAAATATTTATGAAACTCCTGCAGGATTAAATTGTTTAACCTCTTTCCAATGTACGCGTAGGTTAACTTTCCTGAGTTAAATAAAGTAACATGCAAGCATGTACACATATCAATATGCCTATGCTAATAATTCTTCGATCAGAACGAAATTCGTTGCTTATATTGAAAATCAAAGATATTTCCAATTGCCCAGAATTATCCGAAAATATAAAACGCATGTATTTACAAAAGTAAATAGCTTATTCGTTTTATTACGGATTTCCTCTGACAACCGTAACTTCAATAGTTATGAATCACTATTTGTAATTCTAAACGTTATGAATCGCTATTTGTAATTCTAAACGTTATGAATCACTATTTGTAATTCTAAACGTTATGAATCACTATTTGTAATTCTAAACGTTATGAATCACTATTTGTCATTCTAAATGTTATGAATCACTATTTATAATTATACTAAATTATAGGTAGTAGTTACAAATATTCAATTTTTTTAAATATGATCAAAAATACGGATTACAAATATTTGAATATTACTAACACTGTCCGATAACTATGTGACACGAGTTCCGACACGTTACATTTATTACGTGTTTAAATTTGTGTGTGTTTGTATTTATGTGTGGCGAACTGAATTACATGCATCAAGATGCATCTAATGCATTAAATGCATCAAGCGCAGTAATATTTATTTTTTAAATAAGTTAACGTTTTCAGAGCTTACTTATTTCAGCTTTAGTAAATAGAACATACATTTTTTTCTTGGTGGTTGAGCAACGATATCACTCTGCAGACACTAAACATAATAAACTCGAATAATTAGATTTTTGTTACGTAACTTTTTGTAACAGAAATATTTTACACCATTGCAATTAATATCTTAGAAATATATGATTTATACTCCGAATTTCTTTCTATTCTACTCTGGTGTTTTCAGTTTTGTTTGCTCTTATTTATTTCTTCATTCACTGATTTCATTTTGTCGAGCGAGCGAATAATTGGTTTTCTCCGAAAAGCAGATTAATAAAACACGCGCTGGCGCGGGCTACGGTTCCAAGGACTAATAATACTGTCGACGCCGTTCATTGACAGGCGACCGCCAAAGAATAAATTACCAGAAATAAACCGCACGCACCACAGGAGAGGAAATCAATGGTCACATAACGAAATACAGAATGCGTCAAACTGTTACAAACTTCTAGAGCATGAATCGGGTCAATGATTACAATTTTTAAACCAATGTGCAAGTGGTGGGAAATTTCGTGTCACGAAGTTACATGTGTGACAATTTCCCAGGTCGTTAACACTTTTAACTACCACTATTGAATTATTTTTTGGAAGGTCATGTATGCTTTGGGAGATGTTTATCATGGTTATACACACAATCTACAGAGGAATCTTCAAGAATCGTGATATGTATACAATATTACTAAGCTATATTACTCTACAGCTTCAGTAGCCCGTGTAAAGATATTATACACTTTTGGTATGTATAGAAAATAACAATTAATAGGAAGCTACACAGAATTCAGAAATAGAAACTGAAGAAAATATTAATTTGTGATGTAGCATAACATATAACACAAGAAATGGTTTTTGTGAGTTAAAATAATGGGATAAATAAACTTCATTGTGGTGCCACTTTACATCGTAATTTACAGAAACTAAGCAGAACACGTTAATCTTGGATGAAAAATTAACTCTCCGCGCTATTTGAAAAAGCCAAAAACGTTTAAAGAAGTTATACACGAACAGGGAAACTTGTGTCATCTTGATACCCGTGGCCTCCTGTAAACAACTTTCTGTTCATAATATGCGAATGGATACGAGGCAGTTAACGTGTCCATGCGCTAGCGTTTGGCAGGTGACGTTCTGACACAGTCAGAGAGATTTCGTGTATCGAACTAGCACGGATGCATAAGAAGTTGCCTACACTCAGGGGCAAATGTTTTCCTTCCGTAACTACAGTTATACAGAATTTCCGACACAAGTTCATAAGCAAAATGATCATCTTTGAACCCTCTTGATGCCCAAACGTTTGCATTTACTCGAAGGCACAAGTATAGATATTGTAGAAGGGGAATACACAAATCATTGTGTTCCCTAGAAATGTTATGAGTGTTATTACTGCCGATGCCAACAGTTAAAAATCGAGGCGGAGCGTAGCGAAGACGAGATTTTTAATTTGGACGAGGCAGTAATAACACTACTATATTTATATAATTGGCAAATATCGTAGTTCCCAATTAAATGTGCCTTTTACACGTCGTTTAAATGTCAATATCTTCCTTTTTATCAGTACAGGTGTGTGAGATTAACAGCGAACTCTTCAAACGTGACTTCTAAATAACATTTCGAGTTTTATTTTCAATTAATGTAACGAGTTTTCTTTCTACGTGTCATATGTACGTTTGTACTAAAGGAAACCTCGACAGAACGATGGAAATTTTTAACAACAAAATCCTGCTATTACTTCAAAGTAAAGTTGAACAGCTACATAACAAAATCGCTTTATTTACTAATCTGCAAGAGTAAAAAATGGCATCTACATTATGAAAGTAGATTGATTTAAATATTACCGGTCCAGAAAACGTGTTCAATCATTCGATCGGTACTAATTCGTAAAAAAGGAAAACAACGTTTTGACTACCATTTCAAAAATGGCGCTTACCATTTTCAATTACACCGTTCTCTAATAACTGATTAACTTAAATATGCAATTGGCACACAGAGAGAATTAATGACATCACCTAAAATAATTATTTGCACCTGGCTCGCTTCTACAATACTAACTTCCATTGACAGTACCAATCGCACCCTTCTATTAATCTCGTGCATTTACCCGTGAAGTTCTGCAACGTACGTAGAACAGAAGTATTAGTGATATCCACATCTTTCGAGTGCGCTGTACTGGTACTTTTATCGTTGTCGTGTCCACATCGTGCACATTTGTTGAGCTTTACCATGTGTATGACATTGCACCATTTGCATTGATATCTCCTTATTGTCTGTGCGAATGGGAGCACCATTAACATGACATCATTGCTGATAGTGTCTATAAATTTTGTGTGCGCTAAGCTGCACTGTCTGAATAGCACAATAGTAGGTGTAGTAGTAGGTCTTTATCTTGCGTATGCGTTGTGATGCACCATATACAAGAATCCTTTGGGAGTGATATCCTTATCATAGTTCACGAGTGTTCGCAGTACTCCACCGTGGGGAAGGCACTTCTGGTGGTGGTTGTAGTGTCCTCATCTTGAGGGTTGGTCTGCTGTTTCGTATGACGCTCGTTTACGATCGTTGGTCCGCACAATAGAAATGGTGGTAGTAGCAACCAGACCTTTGGGAGCCTAGTGCTGCACTTGTGCTACCCGATGAAACGTGAGCGCGTTTTGATTGTTCGCCACTTCACGATACAGTTTGAACAAAATATATCTGCCAATATTTTCATGAATATTTTCGAAAAATATAAAATCATTATTATTAGAAAATATACCTTTTGTAGTAATCTTATTGATTAAAATATTAGTTTTATAATAACTTTCTAATTTTTCCTTACTTCAACTATTCGTTTTATATACTCTGTAATATCATTAATAGAAGAGATATTGTGGAAAAAATAATTTCCAGAACCTAAATTACAAGTAATTTTTTTTATCTTTAACATAAATTCACATAATATAAATAAATATGCGCGCCTCGTGCTGCACCGTATGCGCAACTTAACATATTCTCTTTCTGCTTCTGTGCCTTAGTGCATGTCGACGGGCGCGTGCATCGGCTGGTACTGAGAGTGAACGGCTTTGTTTGAGATTGTATCAATTTTACGCAATGTACTGCACTGTGCATTTGGCATCCCTGATGGTATGCACATCCTTGAGGGCTGGTGTGCTGTACCGTGTGACACAAGCACATGTACACACTAGACGCACAGCCCATAATGTCCATGCCTTGCTCATGCCCATGCCTTACCCACAGACCGTAGTGCCGATGCCATGTGACAATCACGTGTACGCACCAGACACACAGCCCATAGTGTCCATGTCTTGGCCATGCCTTACTCGCAGCCCATGCCGTGTAATGCAAGCACGTGTACGCACTAGGCACACAGCCATAGTGTCCATGCTTTGCTCATGCCTTGCTCATGCCTTGCTCATGCCTTGCTCATACCTTGCTCATGCCTTGCTCATGCCTTGCTCATACCTATGACTTACCCACAGCCCATAGTCCCCATGCCTTGCCCATGCCTTACTCAAAGCCCATGCCGTGTGCCACAACCTCGTGTACGAACTAGGCACACAGCCCATTGCGCCCATGCCGTGTGACCCAAGCCCATAGTGCCCATGCCTTGTGCTGCACCGTACGCGCCATGTAACGCATTCCCCTTGTGCTTGTGCCACAGTGCGTGTCGACGGGCGCGTGCATCAGCTGGTACTTCGTGTGCGACGGGCGGCGCGACTGCGCGGACGGGTCGGACGAGCTGTGCCGCGCGCCGCGCTGCCCGCCGCTGGCCTTCCGCTGCGGCTCCGGCGCCGGCGCGCGCTGCGTGTCCCGCGCCGCGCGCTGCGACGGCGAGCGCGACTGCCCCGGCGGCGAGGACGAGGCCGGCTGCGTCGGACGCACGCGTGAGTACATCACCCTCCCCCCCCACACACACGCGCACACACACAGCAGAGTAGGGAGTAGTTGAATCGAGGAAATCAAAAACTCCCTAAAGTCCAGAAAACTAAATTTTACAGGAGAGGAAAAATATGTCTTTTCTTTCAGTGCTCACTAAGTTCATCCTACATTCTATTAATATTGTAGATTTATTCCTTATTTGTCTCTTCAATAATTCAAAAATTAAAATTTTCACTTCATTAGTTGAAGTTGGAATAAAATCTCTCCAAACATGTGCAAATACACATAATCCCGAGTCAGTCGAATCGAAGAAATCAAATACTCCAAGACCACACATCCACAATGTACCAAAGATAAGAAAAAAATATGTCAGTTTTTCAGGGATCACTGAGGTTATCCAGCATTCTATTAATATTGAAGATATTTATTCCTTATTTGTCTCTTAAACACTACAAAAATTAAATTTTGCACTTAATTAGTTGTTGAAATTGGAATCAATTTTCTCCTAACATTTTCCCCAACAACAAAAAGAGTTGAATATGGGAAATCAAAAAATTCTGTAAGTCCAAAAAGTCAAAGTTTACTAGAGACAAAAAATAAACATGTTATCTGTTTTAGTGATTAGAGATATTATGTAACGATATATTAATATTGAAGAGATTTATCATTTATTTATCTCTTAAATTGTACAAAATTTAAATACAGCACTTTAATAGTAATTAAAAATTCGATATAACAATCTTCAATTTTTGATAAAAAATATTTGAAGTCATATAGAGTTGGATCAGGGAACCCAAAAGCTTCCTATGCCCATAAAAAAAATTCCACGCAAGAAAAATACTTCAAAATTAAATGATTGCGCTTATAGTTAAGAATTGAATTAAACACTATCCAAACCAATAAGTAAAGCCGGAAAGAGTGGAAAAAAGGAAATCAAAAACTCCTAAGTACATAGAAACAAGTTTTACCGGAGAAAAAAGTGAACTCTCTCAATTATTATAGATGTTCTTCTCTTAAATACTTGAAAATTTAAATATTGCCCATTTATTTAGTTGTTATAAATTGGATTAAATACTCGAACCTTTTTCACCAAAGAGTAGAGCTACTGGGCTTCGGTTCTCCCTGTTTCAGATATTAAACTTTTGATTTAAGTTCATGCAGATTGTGTTTTATCTTTCAATAGATTATCTACGACGACCTTGGATTATTTCTTTTTTCAATTTACTCTCTAATATTTGATCTACATGTAAATTTCTTAACAAATCCATATGAAATGGACAACGCGAACACCCCTGTCCATTGACTGGTTTATTTTTTTCTTCAAACTCATTTGCAAGATGAGAGACATGTTGACGAAATCAACCTCTAAAACTCTATTATATTATCTGTAATAAAATCTATCTTAAATAACACCATCTAGAACTGCGTTCATGCTTGTTCTATTATAAGATGAACTTGCAAATGAAAAAACTCCTAACATTCCATGAAACGAAACAGAAGAAAAGCATTGTTTCATCTCTTTATCTTTGGAATAGAGGGTTTTGCATGGGCAATACGCTGGTATTCACGACGCGTGATAGCAGATGATGCGAAGATTGCGCGGTATCATTCTGCCTTATTTCCATCCCGAGAGGCTCATTCACCGCCTATCGGAACGAGAAGGCCTCTTGTGATCTGAGAATCCCACGCCCGCAGCTGGAAACAATGGTTATATCTCGGCATGCACGACCGCCGACGCGGTCGTTTCCTCAAATATGGTAATGCAATCAATTACCCGAATTGCGAGACAGTGGTTCGCGTCCGGTTTTTCTCCCGTTTGGAGGAAAGAGACGCCGCGCTCCCGCCGGCGGCCGGCCGAACGAGTGTGTGATTTATTTCCCCGTTACACGCACCACTTCCGCGGCCCACCCTCGGCGCATCTGATTTCGAGAAACAGGCGGCCGAGACGGAGCGCGCCTGTCTTGTTTGCGGTGTTAGGGAGGCCGAGAGAAAAGTCGCTTCCACGACACTTGAGGAGATCTTGATTCAGACGAGCGCGTGCGAGAGAACTTGACAACGCAACGTTTCCTCGATTTCATTTGCCTCTAACGTTGGTTGGTGTGTTCGTAAAGTTGGTGTTTTTCATCTCATTCTTCCACTTGTCCTCTTGTTTTCTTAATTAAATTGTGTGTACATTTCTTTTCAGTTCTCCTTATCTTTTGTAATTTAAACAAAAAAATATTTTTATATATTCATATAACACAGGACTTTTGTTGTTTCTTCTTTCTGTTTTAAAAGTTTTTTTAAGTTTAAATATATTTAAAAAATCCTTGGCAGTTGACTCAAGTAGGCCACTAGAATGTTTAGAAAAATATGGAAATGTTAAAGCCTTAAAGAAACATATTAATTTTTTAAGGGATAAAACCAAATCAATAAAGAGTTTTTCTCGAGAAAGGAATCTGAGTTTACGTTAATCATTTTTTTAAAATTTTGTTCATGTGCTTATATTTATGTATATCTAGGAAATGTCTATTATGTATGTATATTTGACTATTGATGAATATCTATTGTTGATTTTGCGAAAAGAGATTCACTCCGTCCACTTCATGTACTGCTGAGCACTCAGGTGAAAATTGGCATTTTATCCACATGACGAATACCTATCTATATGTCCGTTTCTTTACAGTAGAGATGTTGTAAACAAACAGCTTTTTCGCCTCGTAAAGCGCGATGTTTTGATGGCGAAGATAAGACGACCATCGAACTGAAAGCTCGACCACTCTTTGTGAGGAGCGAAACAACCTTGTTTACATCTGCGGCGCGCGGGCGAGCGTGCGGCGAGAAGATCGTGAGCAGAAAGTGGAAGAGAGGTAGTGATGGTTGGCGTCCGTTGGCATTAGATGGCAGTGGGCGAGAAGTTAGAGAGAAACCAATGATCAAGTTGCGGCGAGAGTCTAAAGCGAGTGGGCGGTAGGTGAGCAGTGAGAGGATTTTGGAAGGCAGAGGGCGTGTAGAAGGAATGCGGTAAAGGAGTAGTCGGAATATACGCGGTATTTGGGCGGGTAAAGGACGTGAAATGGACGTGCATTGGACAGCGTGCGGAGGCTGCGTGATGTTGGATATCAACGGCCAGGAGACAAGCGAGTAGTGGACGAAGAATGGAAGAGCAAAGTCGAAGCCTTGTGTTTTATTAGCTATTACGGCGGATGGAACGATACATTAAATGGTAAACAATGGTATATGAATATTATGACAACGAAATTTGGAGATTTTGAAAATTTTACGAATACAGAGCCGTTATTATAGTAAACTAATAATTCAATCAGCCGAGTATATTGACTCGTAGAATTTGGCTTCAACTATTCATTTACCTACCTGTTGTATTGGAAGTGATTTGTAATGATATTTTTTTATTATTGAGATCTGAGTGCGCACGTAATAATAGGATAATACTGTACGGAAAATTACAAGACGGCGGCGGACAGTTGAAGTCGATTTTAGGTGTGGGAATAATATACCGTTCATTACTGAAAATTAATTTTTATTTTAGTTTACTTTTCATCACTCTTCTTACTCTGTTTTTAAACAAATCCAAAGAGCTAGTAACTGGTTTTTGAAAAGGTAAACTCTATTAAAAAGATAACACTGAGTTATGTAGCTAAGATTTATTTTATTTTTTTCTGTTAAGTTCTTTGTATTTTACTACGTAGTCTTACGCCTACAAAACATAATCGTAATTTTATTGAACACAATGCGTAAATTTGTGTTTTTAATTTTTATTACACCAGTATGTAAAAATAAGTTGTACTAGTGACCTGCAGTAGCAAAAATTGTGTTAAAAAGAACCTTACAAAAAAAAGGTTTTCAATTTGTAGGCCGCACACTGCTCAAGAAAAGCAAATCAAATACTCTCTTATAGTTCTGCAGTAAATTAGATATTTTAACAAAAAAGGTTTCCACGAATTCTCTTGAGTCTACACAGACATTCTAAACGCGAATACATAATACAACTTTGTTTTACATTCATAGAATATGAAAATTTGTGCAGTTCCATAACGCAACACGTGAATGGCAAATATTTAGAGGTGGAAGCCGAGTTTTGGAGCCTTTCTGTCGCGTGAAGGACGCGTAGAGTATGAGAATTCACTCTGAACACGCAGTCCAGAACGAAACTGTTTCATTGTTTTCCGAGTCCCTTCATCAAAACCACAGGAACCTCTCACACGGCTGCAGACAATACTTTTCTTCCAAATTTCGCACACATTGGGAACTACTCAAAGATTGATCCTATGTAAATGATAATTGTGTACAAACGCGGTAGAAAACGAAAAACTGTTTACGTAACCCGTTATTTTGAGCGGTTAAACAAGCCAAATTAAACAGTATTCAAGAACAGCATTTTGAAGTAGACGTACGACACCCGAACCGATAACTCCTTGGTCGCGGCGCCTCCCGGACAGCAAAGAATCTATCGACTCCTGCCGCACACGCCTACGTTTTCAGAATCGGAGGAAAAAACTTTTAAAAGTTTTTTTTCTTTAAAACCGCCGTTCCATGTAGTGTAGTGTCGAGGCAGTGGGCGAGCGGGCGGCGTCATGGCGTCGTGGCGCCTGCGATCGCGATGGACAGCGCCCACGCGGCGTCCGGCCCCGCCGCTCTGCGCCGCTCCGCGTGCATCGGGAAGGGAATCTCGGCGCAGCGCCGCCGCGGGCGCAGCGACTATCTTTAGCGCATCGCCCCGCGCGGGCGGTAGGGAACGGGGCGGGCCAGGGCAAGGCGGGGAGGAATGGGGGCGGGGCGGGGTGAGACAGGACGAGGCCGGTTGCCGACCCGTTGGACTAGCCACGGCAGTGGGCCGCAACTGAACTACATACCGAATGCTCCGTCAGCGACTCGTTATTTTGAGCGAGAGTGGCCTGACATACGTTGAATAATGCATACTGAGAGACATACACTGAAGATGAACGGGACGAAAAAAAAAAGTATTTGCGGAAAAAGTTAAGGGAGAAAAAAGTTACCGTTCAAA